TACTAAACCCAATGCCCCCTTTGAAAAGCTCAGCTTTAATAACATCTACAGCAGTGAGAAGGCTTGTTTAATAAAATTATGAGATCTGATATGAGGAGAGGAGAACACCACTTCTCTACGCACCTCTTCAACATAATTGTGTTACCTGCAAATCAAAAGCAAAACAGAAGCCAAACTTGCTGCAATGGCTCAAACAAGCCCAGCAGCATCCACTAAGCTTTCTATAGTCCTTCCTAACCCCACTATTAACCCCCAACAAAATCCTTGATTAAAAAAAGCCTTTTGTGCTACATAAGCATATATAAACCACTGAATTTTGCTGGTGTTCCAATAGCTCAACCTTTGCACAATTCCTCCAGTAAAAAAAATAAAATCCTCTCCAGTTTTGTCTGCCCTTTCAAGTCTGAATTCCAATTGCAGCAATAAGCTTAGCCTAGCTATTACTCACACTTTTACCAGAACAAACTTTAACACAAACTTTAACACTCTGTCTGCACCAGACCCTATTTTGACCCTGCACCAGGCTCTACTTTGTCATTGCAAAAAACTAAGCTGGAGTTCTTAAAATCATAGTTTATGTTTATGCCTGCAAATTTAGCAGTGGCTGGGCACACCTGAGTTTACTAGAATGTCATCATCTACACACTGGAAGTGTTGTAACAGCTCTTCTGCTCTCACAAACATGTCCTAGAAATGGTTCAGGAGTTAGGATATACCAGGCACAGCTTCCAGAGGCAACCTGCAGCCATCTTACAATAGAGGCTCAGAGCACATATGGGAGATCATCCTGTGCCGCTCAACTTTAAAGCCAAAGGGGACATTCAGCTTACACTTGTATAGATGAAACCTGAGCATCTCATAGACTTATTTCACCTACCAATGCAAAAATGACTTTCGCAATAGGCTGGAGAGCCTTTCCTGAAGGTAATGACGAAGCTTAATCTGTTGCACTTCCCATAGCCTATTCCAGTGGGTCATACAAAACCTACCAACAAGCCTAACTTTTCAACCACTCCTGTGTCCTAAACCGTAGCCTTAACCCTCATCCTAGCCATACGAAACCTCAGTAAATTTATGTAATGCAGAATACATCCTGGCATTAAAGGATGCAGAGATACACCAAGACCTTTAACCTACCTTATTCCAAACTATCTCCAGTCCCATCTGAATCCTAGTTTAACCACAACTCAAAGTTTAGTCCTTTTAAACTCCTAGTTTACCCACGCACAAAGCAATACAGACCGGAGGTCTACTAGACACGTCAGCACTCATGCCTCATCAAAGCCCTAATCTTGTAGGACTTAGCTGTACGCCTACCTCTTCAAGCCTTCTTTCCCAGAACACTAATCCTACCTGCAGGCTGAAGAGTAATCTGGTAACTGCACTGTCAGCAAAATTAACAGTAAGGGTCCTGGTTTCAGTGGCCAGTCCAGCCCAAACCACGACAACGGGGCAGAACTTGACCAGCAGCATCCTTCAAACTATCCCAAACTAGGCCTTTTCCTACTCAGGTCCTAACCCTATCTCTTGTCATATAACATTAATTCAAATTCAGCTTGGTAACAGAGCTACCCTTGTATCATTCAATCTTGCCAGTACTAATCCATAGCCCAAGTCACATGTTCTCTATATAGCAGCCAGCAAGAAAATAAGATCTTCAACTCATCTTGTATCAAAACTGTCTTGAAACATAACCCCAGCCAAAAGCATGGTCTAGTGACATTAAAATAAAAATAGAAAAGCTTTTTTGCCCATTTTGCTAATTAATATGTCAGAGCTCATAAAGACAGACTCATCAGCTTTTCTCCAGCACTGCATCATCTGAAAGAGCTGTGTCAGCAGAGACCTCACAGCAGACAGTCAATACATACTAAAAGTGCTCTAAGCAGTAAATCAGAACACAAGAAAAGAATTTCAGAAAAAAATAAAAATAGCTGTGAAGATTTCAGTACTCGATTTCAATATTTGATATATATCAGGTTATATATGATGTACAACAGTCTTGCCCTTCCTTATGAAGAGCATCCTCCTGGCTGTCCTGGAAACGCTTTTCTAAAAATCTAAGCGTTCATGAAAAACTGAGCTAAAGTTTGCTGATTCTTCATCGTTGTGAATTTTCAGGGATCCTCTCTGCTTTACAGTAGAGACACCACTTGCCTGCTTCCCATTCTCATTGCTGGAATTGAGTTTAGGGAATGCGGACACACCATTGCTGAGCACACACAGAGCTTACAGAGGACAAAATCCTCCTTAGAGGATTCAGAGCAGATGCCTTACACACACACACACTCTGAAATATGGTCTTTTCCAGAATGGGCGGAGCAGGCTGCATCAATACTGCACTCCAGTGCTTTTGCCAGTAGTATTGTGGAAAACATTTGCAACGCTAAGAACACCTGTAAGCACTGCAGGAATCTTCCATCTGGCAGGATGACAGACAGGCCAGCTATGAGAACCAGATTTCACAGATGCATTTCTGTGACAGTGAAACACAGGAACAAGTCTCCAGCCATCTTCCCATAGAACGTGCTTATAAGCTTAGGATGTGTCCAGATATGTTTCTAAAAATCAAATCTACTTTTTAAGGAAAAAAAGGAACTGCTGTTTGTGGGTGCAATATGTAAAAAGACAGAAAGGTGGGGCTACAGCTACAGATCCTTCTAATGCCTTGGTCTTCTGCAGAATTGTGATAAAGCTTTTTGAAATGAATACATGCTACTAACTCCTGCTGCTGCTCAGTAACATGTAATATGCGAGGGATACAGTAGCTGTACCAGAAGCTGAGACTAAATGCCTGAAGAGCCACTGCCCCAGAAGGAATAGAAAGGATATTTCCCTAGAGAGAATTACTCAACTGTGTATTTCATAGAACAAGTCATGTTGAAGGAGAGAAGGGATAATTGCACTGATTGTTAGTAGGTGATAATTAATTCTGTAGAGAAATATGTTTAATTTCCTGAAGTCTAGAATAGAATGGAAACTCTTCATTCTGGAATGAGAAAATAGCGGTGTTTTGCTCCCAGCACAAGAAGCTGCAATGTCTCCCTTAACATGTTCTTAAAAAAGGAACCTATAAGGAAGGCAGCACAATGAACAATGTTAAAACAAGAGTTCTGTGAGGTGACTGAATACCAGCAAGATGCATATATGATATATAATTCCAAAAAGCATACAGTAAAAAGGGACCAGAGAAAAGGAACATCATGTTCTTGAACAAACCTTTAAAATAAATATTTGAATGGAACAATGAGAAAACTGAAACTGCTGCTTGATTTCCCTTTACGAAGGGTTAGGAAATGGAACAGGGAGAGGGGAGAAACATTTTTCAACAGTAATTGAACTGTATTTAAATTGGACAGAACCAAGAAAAATCATTTACGCTCCAAGCTTCTCAGAAGTTAGCTACTTCCTTTTATTCTGAAGGGGGGAAAAAAGAAATAACCTTTAGGATCTTTGTATCCATTCCTTAGGTGATCTGTTGACCACTGATTTTAGTCTAGGATAAAAGGTACATGTAAGAGGTCTATGAAGGATAAGTAAAGCAAATAAGCCCAAGTTCAATAAGCGTGGGTCCACATTTTCATATAAAATTCGTAGGTGTCTTCAAATAGAAAAATTTTCAAAGCCATGGTTTTCAAGAATCTGGAGAAGTGTGCAGAAGAAAGATCAAATGCTGCTAAAAGTGATATTATAAAGCTTAACGTACCTATAACAACAGATTGCCAAAGAGTTATGATCTCACCAGGTTTCCTTCCAATATTCTTTGATAGCAGTGAATTCCACTGATCTTTGGAAAACTGCATGATCTTGCAATGTTTGTAGTCATTTTTCTGCACAGGAAAAAACTCAAGGGCAACACCCGTAGCTTCTTCAAGTTGACAAGATCATTTCTTTGAAGCTTTCACATTCCCAAAACAAAAAGTTGAAAGAATTTTTTCTCCCCAGGAGTGATAATGTTACAAGACATATGAACTACCCCTTGATTCAGAAAGAGAATCCAAGAAGTTCACAGACTTAGGAAAGACGCCAGAAAAATTTAAAAAGAATTTGTCTGCGAAGTTCAGGAAGAGGTCTTCAGATAAGGAAAATCCACCACAGAGAACTAAAGAAGGACACCCAGTTGCACAGAGAGGGAATACCATAAACAATCAGGAATCTCACAGTTGACCTGCCTTTACATTAATTCAGCTTTTTAGTTCTATCAAAGGAGTGGAAAAAGGCAACGTGCAATGCACTACAAAGTGTCAGAAAACCTCGAAGTTTCAGGCTGCCATCAGAAGAGATTGCTGAATAACTTGAGTTTTCTAGAAAGTTTAAGGTTTCTTATGGCAGCTTATTCATGCCTTGTGAAAAATTACAATCTTAGGTGACATTTCCTTGAAAGTTCTTGTAATACAAGAACTGCAAGTTGTACAATACCACGGTGTGGTTTATGGAACTTATAAGCCCATAGTGCTGTCATTACTGTACCTACTTACTTTATTAAATATTTTTTTTTCTTACTATGGCCTAAAAAGTTTAAAAAAATATATAGTTCTACTGCGCAAGCATAAAGAATGTCAAAGCTTTTCCTTTCTTTTTTTAAATCTGTATAATTTTTTTTAGTGTTATCTTCAATATTCCTGGTAATGGAAGTGGAACGCATAGCAAAAAGAAAAAGTAAGAAATATTTATATTTTTCAAAATATATATTGTTTAAGTCTCCACACTCTACAAGACAAGTGGCACTTACCCTTATTTGAAAGGGTATCTTCTTCAGTTTACACCACCTGTACTGGAAAAAAGGTTACAGCTCTTCCTGCAGATGACTCAGCTACGTACACTGCCTGGCAAAGAACAATCCCTAATTCATCATCGTACAACTTGGAGTCAGTGCATACAAAGTAGTGCCTTAATTTGCAACTCTCTTAGTCACCATGGTTTCTGTTAGCTGATTTCATTTACTGCCCACACTACTTTCAAGTTGCTGACTTTTCCTCCAAAATAGGGGAACAGCTTACCCGACTTGTGTCCGGCCAACAAACCAACTTTGCTTTCATCTGCCACTGGAGGAATAAAAGAAAAGACACAAAGATCAGAAACTTATTTAAATTCACAAGCCTTTGAAACACTGTCAAATTATTTCCGACACATAGCATCCTGAATCTTTAAATTATAATAATTTGTAAAAAGCCTTTTTTTACCTAATCCACCCGGGGTGCTTCAAAGTCCAAGTATCTGAATGAAAGCCCACTGAAACCAATAAAAGGACTACCAGCAGCCCTTGTGGGTTACAGATCAGGACCTCAGCACTTACACACTCAAAACTGAGTTGTCAGAAGATAAATTGCATTTGTAAATAACTCAACTTGCCAGACAAATCACAGGGGATAGGAGAGTTGTAACATTTTCAGATCAAAAACGTCAATTGGTCGAAAGAATCTAGATGTGGAAACCTTCCCATCTGCAAGACACCTCACTGACTCACAGGACCCTCTGCAGACAATTAGGTGTCCCCAGAACTGATCTTCTGGAAGACCTATGCTTTTTTCTATGTTATGATTTATTTTATCCATAAACCATACCTTTGTAGTATTTCACAATATCTTATAAAGACAGATGTTTACAGTAGCAGGAGTTTGCAGATAGACTAGTGGTAGAGCAAATTCCGAATCTAACAAAAAATGTAATTTTTCTTCAGTAACTATACTTCAGTTTATTATCATATATCTCAAGAAACTAATTAAAATACTCTCCCAGAGGGCTGAGGGGAAGAACCAATCCCCATTTCTTAAAATGAATTCTATGCAAAGAAATGGTGCTAATGTAATGTTAGGGATGATAAAACAAGCACAGGAAATGAATGTTAGGGTTGAAAGCTTATCCTTCAACCCTGCCTGCCCAAGCACTCCCTTATATTATGTCTTAAAACGTGATTGCTTTATGCTATCAAAAAAAATTGTCAAGTCATACCAAAAATACTATAAATGGGAACTCTTACACAAGCTTTGCATAGTGGTCACCATAAAAAGTTTACATACAGGGTTATCTGCAACGATACAGGAATGTGCTATTTTCTACCCAGGAAAGAGCAGTGCATTACTTAGTGACATTTAGGAGCTACTACTGGGAAAATAATCACAGTAAATGTCTTCTTATATTGCCTCCCCACTTTTAGGGAAGCTTCCCCCCTCCCCCCAACCCCGAGACCAGCATCAGAGTCAAGACTGGGATTCGCAACCAGACTCATGAATCCACAAACGACCATTGTATCTCTTCTACACCTTTGTAATCTGATAGTCGTCTGATTATCAGTAAAACTGCCACAGTGTAGTTTTGTTGTGGGACATAGATCCTAATAAAGTATGACTAATACTGTATTGTGGCATTACACAGACATACTGCAAAACAAAACAGCAGCGGGGCTAGTTAAAATCAGAAGCGCAACCAAAATTCAAGTACAATTCTATACTCCTTTGTCCTTTAACCTTTCTCCCAGTTTTTTTCTAGTCCCTCGAAATGATAACTACTTACCTTCTTGCTATGCAGTTTGATCCTATAACACAAAACAACCAGACAAGGATTTGCTATAAGGATAGTTCAAACTCCTTTTCCTCCTCCCTCCCTCCGAATTTATCTCTAAGCAGAACCGTGGAAAACTTTAGTCCCAAAGGTTAGTGTTTTGACAAGTTATGATTGTGTGAAAACAAGGGATTATAATGGAAACTGATTTGCAACCTTAATTATAGCAGTCACTAATGGCAACCACTATAATATATGATAATTACTTGGAGTAGGTTATGTTACAGTACATAGGAGCTTTAAAAAAACAGATACCAAGGTTCACTGCATTTTTTAAAAACTATGCTGATGACTTGGTTTGCCTGAAACTAAGTTTTACATTATTAAAAGGGATAAATCCATTTAACTTAATCATACTTTACACACCAGCTTCACATACAAAAATTAGATTTTAATACTGGAGGGAAAAAAGGAAGAATAAAATGATTAGAAAATGAAAAATAATCTTACCAGAATACAAGGCTAGCATTATGAGTTTAAGCACACACACACAAAAATTGGGAAATGCAAAAATTAAAGTTTTATATTAAAGTTTGAGCAAAAAATATGTGCCCCTCCACAGGGAAATTTCCATTTCGTGGGATATTACGCTTAGGCAATGACTTCTGGTTTTGCCATCTTTTGTTAGACTGAACATAGGAGTAGCACAGACAAGTCCGTTGGATGAGAATCCTATTCCTTCCCTTGTTTCCTCTGGGAACAAGGAGAAGATGACGGAAAAAAGGGCTAATGTGAGATAGATACTTCATATGCCAAAGTTGAAAACTTTGTATCTGAAGATTTCATTTAGGAAGTTTATAAGATGTCCTGTTCCACAAAAGAGCATTTGAAAACACTGCTCTGCATGATGTTAAAAATTCATGCAATCATTCAGTTATGACAAAAATAGTATTTCTCTGGTTATCTTCCTTGGCTTTTGATAAAAGCAAGAGCTAAACAGAAATTTCTTTTCTAAGATTCTACTAGTGTTGGCCCATCTTTGCAGAAAGGCACCTGAAGGATTGTAAACAGAAAAAAAAATATTCTACTCTTAAAACTCAAGTAAATAAAATAATTCTAATTATTTTTTATATTGCAGCAAAGAGTAATTACATTGCAACTAACTATGAAAAATTTCAGCTCAAGAGGATCACACTTGGGAATGTGCAGTGCCAGACTGGAATATATCAGGAAAACATTCATAACAAAATTTCAAATGTAATTATTTTTATGAGGACACTAAAAATACTATATATTCTTGAGTTAAAATTGTTAAATGCAAAACATTTTTTAAAAATGCAAGCACCTAATTTCAGGACTGTAAACACAAAACTCAAACAAAAATCTGGGAAGGATCAATGCAAGGGAGTAAATACATTCACAAACAAGAAGAAACTTGTTTACTTGTAAATCAAACAAATACTTCACTTTTTGAAATGTCCCTGGAACTCCAGGAGAAGTTTTTAATGTTCATTGGTATAAAACATGCTAGTTCTTTTAAAGTAACATCTATAATTTAAGAACTGCATTTTCACCACAGAAGCCAGTTGCATATTCATTGTCAGTACTCAAAGTAATTGCTGGAATAAAAGTGACAGAAGTTCTACAGCTATTTAATAAAAACAGGGACATTTGGGGGACTAGCAAGACCACAGATTATGAACGATGGAATATTACTAAAACAAACACATCCTTCCAGCTGATAGCAAACAACCGAAACATCTTTTTTTAAACTATGCCAACCACAACAAACGGTAAGAGGACCCCAACCCTCCATGCCATGAACAATCAGATGTACTAGGAATTCCTGTGGTAATATTCTAGAGTGCTGTTTTGCTTTAAGAAAACAAGTAGTATTGCTCAGCAAAAAGCACCCAACAATGCATCCATGTTCTTCCACATAATCTTTTGATCGCCATTTCTGTACCCTACTCAAGATAACCAAGGTAGCCATTTCATTTGAATTGCATGATTTTCAGTGGTTTAGTATACAACAAGCCTTCTGTACTGCCTCAAAGTATGCATCAAAATACAGTCCAGGTTTGCTCAAAGGTCAACTAACTACTTCCTAGCTATGGTTTAGAGACGCACAAATCAATTTGGATAACCAATTTCTGTCTTTTTGCCCAGTTCAATCATTGTACCATTA